GAGTTTGAAGAAATTCGATTTTTTCGCTATTTCCAAGTCAAGTTGATATTTAGGCGAAGCTGCTCTTAAAACTAGCATATTTGTTTCAAGAACATCAAATTTCCGCGGAGCAACTATCAGCCGATAGTTCCTCAACAGAAATACACCATTGCTTAAATAGATAGAGACTAGAGAGTAGCGTAGCCAATCAGAGAACGGCATTCGTGATAGAACGTTAGTAGATTTATACTAAAGGGTTTAAGTAAAGTTGTGGTGCTGATGATGCAAATGATATGCTAACGATGTCCTTCCATCATCTGTAAACTTTTTGGAGTAATTCCGTTGACTAGTGGGGTTTAAGGTTGGGGGGAGGTTGAGGTCTTACATGGAATGGCCACATGGAATTCTCGTCCCCCGAGTGCCTCCGAGTAGCACTGGGGACGAGAATGGGCGCGCAGCCAAAACTCGCGCATGCTTATTACGTTTTCCGCTCTGAAACTCCAGTCTTTGTCATACTTCACTTCTAGTACTGGCAGTCGTGCTAGTAATACTTCCAGTTAGCACAAAGCATACGCGTTAGCTTAATGCTAGCCATGAATTTCACAATTTTCACAGACCCGGCAGTCCGCCTTAAAATTGCTGAGCAACAAGAGGTATTTTAAATTAGGTTTGGTTATTTAACTTGTGTATTTGTGATAGCAAGTCTACGAAGACACGGTAACGGTCAGTAACCATTTTGATCTGGGTAATGGCCGACAGGTAGCCACCAGCTCAACTTCAAGCAACCAGTCACCCCTTCCCCTAGTGACGTGGTCTACAACAAAGACGCCGTTGAACGAAGGAAGACTATACAAGACGGACGGGAAAAGAAGAGCTCGAAATGTGGAAAGCAGTCGAAAATACAGGAAAAGAAGGTGACTTTGCTAACAGATAAACTAGCATAAAAAATTCAATTGGATCACAAAAGACGTTACAGTTGACTTATTGAGATTCTCTGGAGAAATTGTTTCTCCAGAGAAAAGATATATTTTTAAGGGAGTTGCGGAGCTATTTTTTATGACAAAAAATTTAAATGTTCCAGGGACTGAGTAAACTAGACCTCCGAGGCCAAGGTCACACTTTCTGTTATTGAAATGAACACGCCGATAAGGTTTGTAACATCTCATATCTCCTTACTTTTCTTTTCAGGAGGGAACGTTTTCAAAGTCTGGAGCTGGCAAATAAAAGACTGCAGGAACAAATTGAGGAAGTAGACAGACAGCTTCAGGAGCTGAATTTTGCTTTCCATCAGTTTGTGCAACATGCAGAATGTTGTGAACACTGCTGTAATATAAGGATAGGAGAATGAGTTCCCGCATCTGTAGTGTATATATTGGTCATGACTTTGACCAGGTGACCTTCCAGACGTCGCAGAAGCAGGCGTCAGTTTTATGCATTAATAGTTGAGCACTTTACTGTGGAATTTGTGATTTCAATACTCCAGATTTATCCATGTATAAGGATTTTTTTTCCACTTAAATTTAGCGATGGCTACCGTAATTTGGTATTTTATGTCAAAGTGTCATTGCGAAATAAAGTTACACTGGCCCACGTTATTTTGAAATTTCTTCACTATACGACCAATTTCTGTTGGAGGAAAAACTACAAGGTAATGACAACATTCTGTCTCTAAGATCAATGTAGCCCATAAGTTTTACTTAAGAGGGGTGCTATTGCTGTGAGACAATGTTTAACCACTCAGGCATTTTTCTTAACCCTATTTAGCCTGGGGTGGGGTGGGGGGGCTGATTTCACATTTTTATAACTTAGACAACATTGAAGCTGTCAGATCAAACTTGTGACTTTTCCTAAAATTTATCACAGATAATTTTGGTGTGTCAATTGTTTGGTCGCGTGACTTGACATTTCAATGGACACCAGGTCTTCGAAGGGTGTTTCACCAAAAAAAAAAAAAAACTTGAACAACTGTTTATGAGAGATTTTGGAATTTATCGAGATTCTAAGCCAAAATCTTTACAATTCTTGTATTTTTTCTTAGGGTTAGGTAAAATTATGGTGCCATATCATCATGACATGCTATATTTGTGCCATTCTGGTGCTACTGTTCCTGGCACATCAAGTCAGAGATAACTATCATTAGGGCTTCAAGTTCATTCATGTCACATCTGATTGGTTTTAGCTAGTGACGCAATAACAAATAATTTGATTGTGTGTTCATACTTTTCTAATTTGAACTAGTAATATAGAAAAAAAACTCTATTAAGCAATTAGATTATGAGTTCGAGATTTCTATCGCGCGATAGCTGATGAGGGTGCAGCCCAAGTCAACTATCACACATAGAAATTCAGAGCGAACAATCTAATTGTTTTAGTATAAATCCACTAGTCATTCAAAACTTTATCTAAATCCTCTTCACTGACACTTCGAAAATGCCAAGAAACAGCCATCATTTTGTTAACAAGAGCATGCTGCTACGCTACTCACTATTTATCACAGAATAGATAGTGAGTAGCGTAGCCAATCAGAGAATGGCATTCATGATAGAATGCTAGTAGATTTATACTAAGATATCATAGACTTATGACATTTAACAGTATGGCTGGCTTAAATCTCTTGGTTTTATTCAAAATACTGTTAGCTTTTTTATTCAAAATATTGCAATTCTTAACTCTGAGTAGTAGGTCAAACAAAGCTTAAAAAAACTGACATACATATAATATATATATTTTTGCTGGCAGGTGATTGGTCTAAATACAACATGAGACTGAACATGTCCCAGCTAAAACTCGGGAAAATCACAATGATATTTCCCAATTTTCAAAATTTGCGTGTTGGGAAAAATATTTAAGGATAATAAACAAAAAAGTCCCCATTTGACTGTGAAAATATGCTTGGATATTTATCTGCAGACATTATCTGTTACTTGAAGCTCAAAATTTTCCTCGAGCTTTTGTCTTGGAAAACTGAAGTGTTAAACAGTATACTGAAGTGGTGTAATTAAGGTGATTTCCTTGAACTTCAAAAAACGTTTTTTTTAATTGAATTTCTTGATACTTAAAAGAAAAATAGTTATTTATCTAGTTGACAGCTTGTTTTACATCATCTCCTCTCTAAAAAACAAGTGCTAACAAAATTCCATGTGTCAGAATTTAATATTAGACCTTTTTCGCTTGGGCAGGTTGTTTTCCCATTACAGAAAACATGATATTCTCTAGACAATTGAAAGGCCGCGTGCAAGAACGTCCCCTAGATTTTTCGGCCATTTTTGAAAGTGCTTAAAACTAGCTGAATTTTGGCATGTGGGCTTCGTTTCACCTGACAAACATTGCTCTGAAGTTTTTTTCGCTGGGTTGCTTTTCGTTCTCGAGAAATAACGTATGCAAAAAGGCACACAGGTTGGAAAAACCGAGTGGTTTATTGCATA